CAAATAAATACGACCGCTAAGCGGAAATTGTTTATTTCCTTTTATGCAAAATTTACGGTATTGAACGCATAAGGTAAGTGTGAAGAAACAACCGTTCATGCAGTTAATCTAATTACTTCGAGTTTGGTGCAAAAACGCATGATCGCACTGGCTCACCTGGTGCATTTTTTTCCAGCCTGGGTTCTGGTAAATGCTCGCTGTTCGAAAAAGTACAAATTTCCTGTTCACTGAAAAGTGGAAATGTTGCTACAGCAGTCGTTCGTCAAAAAATCCAAATACGTAAATGAATTCATTTACATTGTGGGAGAGGATGAGGAGGTCATTCGCTGTAAAGTGCACTCGTTTCTGATTTTCTGGTAAAGCTGAGTATTTCTTATGCCCACCTGCAAGGAATTTTACTTCTAAGCAAAATTAAGACCGCACTTGAAAGTAGAATATTTCAGCGAAGTTTCAGTCTCGCATCTTATCCGGTAAGCAAAACAGCTACTTCCGTACAAAATCTTTGAAGTGCCCTAAGTCGTGGCATAAGCGCAAATCGGAACTCAATTTAGGTATACAATTTCCCACATGGGAGATAAAAATTCTGACAAAATTTCAGTCACTGTTTTCCGGTAAGTTCTTGAGTTAGCACAGTGCCAAGTTGCAAACTTTGACGTGATCGTACGTGCACACATGCGCGACAGCTGAATTTGAAATCTTTGACTCACACATGCACAGAAAATATCCCTACGAAGTTTCTGCTTTGCACCTTGCTTAGTTCGTGAAACAGTATCCCACTACAGAAATTCGCATACTTTTTCGAAGGTCGGTACGTGGGGTTTAGGCGCGTATAAGCGAAAATCTTAAAAAGAGAGGATGAAACACGGGTCAGGAACATATACTCAAACTTTCAGCCTCCCAGCTTCCCTGGTTGCTGAGAAGAAAGTGGGGGACAAAGTTCACTTGCTTCCGAATACACATGCACGCATCCACAAAGACGACCTTTCGACAATAAGCGTTTTTGCTTGCTGCACACCAAAAACGCATAAAAAAGTAATGCTGAATGACTGGAGATGCAGAATGGATATATGAAAAAGGATAGAGGGTTTTTTTAAGCAAAGGGAAAAGGAGAAGGAGAAACAAAGGTGGCGAAAGGTGAGCTCAGCAGTACTATCTTCTTTTCCCGAAGAAGAAATCTTTTTTTTTAAAATCACATCCGATTCTTTTGATCATGAATTTTCCTTCTCCTCTAAACCACGATGACAGTAACTTTAGCTCTTACAGCGCCTGCCTTTTTGTGGAACATCTACGGTTCCATGTCAATGATCGCTAAGGTAACCGCCAATTTTTGATATTCTACAGTAGCAAATCCCTCCCCCTCGGCTCGCACTAATACGCAGCGCATAACATGGGAGACGTGGCAATAAAACACCTTTCTTTTTGGTTTCAGCGCAAAAAATCATCAAAGTCAGGAAAGAAAGCTATATAATGTAGCAATTAGAACTATGGGGTACAAAATTTGATCGCGACGATACAGAAGTTAGCTAGAGAGGCAGTAACTTTAGCTGAAGAAAGATGAAACGACTGAGGAAAGCTGAAAAAAAAGAAAGAAACGACTGCGAAAGAACGAAACTTATATAAGAAAAGTAAAATTTAGTCTCCAAAATATTAAACTAAGTCGGGAAGTGCCGAGCAGTATTAAAATGAGCATAAGTGAGTTCAGGAACTCAAGTAAAGTAAAATGTTACAAAATCTTCTACCTGACGAAATGGACTGTAAAAATAGGGGAGCCTAGAACCGAAATGAAGTCACACCCGTCCTATAAAAACGGTGATGTCACGGTAGTTACGAAACCACTTCCCGCGAGATGGCTATCCCTACGGTCCACTCATAGGCAGTAAATCTTTGATATGAGCTTCACAATGCATCGAATGTTAGTTCTGCGCATCTTCCATTCGCAACTTACATTGGCAGCACCATCCACAGAAGTTTTATTTTCAACAAGCGACATCCTTCACATTTCACTACAGACAAGCTCCGCTCCTCTGCCGACTTCCAGCCGCGTGATCTCGCGTCATTTACGCTGGGATGCCACGACTTCTGCGTCTGTTGACACTGAAAATTAACATTCCCCTCATTTTCTGAAGTCTACTTTTACGATCTCTCTTCACACAAAGTGAACGAATTCTGAAAATGATAAAAATATACGTGCACGTGCTCAAAAATATCTACAGAAATAAAGGATAGGCGACAGCGTCAGGGAAAAAGACGTGAAAATGAGACAGCTGTGCAAGCAATGCTCGCATAGCACGGTTTAAAGACCAGCAAAATATGCATACATACATGTGTACCGCCCGGGCAATCAGTATGGGTATTCCAAGTATTTTAGCGATGTGCTGGATTGCTCCCACACACGGTACTGGTTGTGTAGGGACCCCGAGGCTGCATAACACCAGCTCGACATAAATGACTTTTTCATACTGCTCGACAGTTTTTCATTTACGTCTAAACACGCAACACGAACCATGCACCGGCGTTAACTGGCTTCTTCCCGACATTTTTGCGGGCTCACATCGGCACATCTGTGCTACTGCCGTTTCCACCAAATGCATTAGTTTTGACAGTTGTTTTTTCATTCGCATTTCTTTCATCCTTGCGCACTCTTAGAATTAGCATTTACCTATATCCAGCAAAATTATCCCGCTACAAAACCGGACCGAAATGAGAAATGTTTTCCGCTGCTTTACAGCTGCTATCGTTAAGGCACGAATTCTGTTTCAGTCTAAAACTCTTCGTGAAACGAACAAACACACAGCACAACTAATTATTTCAAACATCTCCAACACTGAGCGGCGTTCGCGGTTCACACGACGAATTTTTCTGACACCCGGACCGTGCACGTGAGTGACGCAGAAGTTGAATTTAAAATTTCCTACGAGACCTGGACATACGTGAAAGGCGAATTTAAGTCGGCGTGGTCGTGCGCGGCTGGGAGCATTCTCTTAAAATTTCAGCTCTAGTTATTAGCTTTTCTGATTCCCGAGTTATTAATTTTGGCGTCAAAATTTTCACGTGTCCGCATGTAAGATCTAAGCATGCATGAAGGTTGATTTTAAATTGGCAGGGTCGAGCATGGGCAGCAAACACTGCTCTACGATTTCAGATTCTTAGCTTTTGTGGTAATTTTGACGTCAAAACTTTCACATGACCGTACTTCAGACTTAGGCATACACGAAGGCTAAATTTAAGCTCGCGAGATCACGTGTGGGTAAGAGACGCCCTACGATTTTAGCTTCCTAGCTTTTCTGGTTCCTGTTCCTAAGTTAAAAACCCCAAATAAGACGCATTCGAAATACACATATATATATATAGGTTCTCGATAAACGTTTTTTGCAACTATTGCAGCACAAAACGCATAAACGTTATGGGCTTTCTTGCCCCGGGACTTCATGCAGTGTTTACTGGAAAGGAAAATTCAAGCGAGTAATTTCATTGGCGCGGAAGGACAAAACAACAAAGGCACTTTCGGAGCATGCGATGACAGGTGGGAACCGAACCTTACTTATAGAGCTCCTGCTGTTGGCTGGATGGCTCTATTGATCTCTTCTATTTGATTTTGAAGACCTTTTCACTCCGTGTTCGTTCTGTGTTGCCCAAACGTATGACGTGTGCGCGGGTTGATGAATAAAAATTAGGGATGAGCGAATGGCACTCAGCACCAGAACAAGCGTATAAATGCTCTTTTAAACGAACCTGTTTCTTGCGAAAGCATCGCCCGGAATCGGGCAACTATGAAAATTCAGCTCGACTCAGTTAGATTGGGGGCGAGTTATGGCGACTGAGGGCGGTGGAAGAGGGGCGGAGCTGGAGGGGGAAAGGAGGTCGTAACGAAGGGTAGAGAGAGGAAAGGGGAAGATCGCCCCTATAACTTTTTCTCATGCCCAGCATGACACATTGTGCTATGGCGAAGTTACCCGCTCAATATGCACTCATTTTTGGGTTCTCGAGAACCATGAAAGTTGGGAATCTGAAATTTTACGGCGATGTCCCTTATCAACGAACGGCCCCCGCAAATCTGGATTCAGCCTTCATATATCCCTGGGTACCACATACGACCCAGTGAAAGTTTTGGTAGGGAAATTATTATCCCGTAAACTGCAGAAGCTAGAAAGCTGAAATTTTAGCATGGTATCCCCTGCCCACGTATTCCGCAAATTTTCAACGTTCCCGTGGGAATTTTGTCAGGGAAAATCATCTCGGGCGCCAGAAGAGTTAGAAGGCTGAAAATCTCAGGAGAATGTTTCCTGCCTAAACAAAGGCTTCACAAAATCAAATTCAGTTCCTAAATATGTCTCACGTTCGACCACTTGAGAATTTTGTCTCAAAGACCATTCGAAAGTCAGAAAATTAGGAGATTGGAATTTTAGAAGGATATTCACCCTCCGAAGTTTCAAATTCAGCTTCCATGTGCTGGTGCGTAAAATTTTTAGCCATTTTTCAACAATTCAACTATTTTTGCACAGACCAAAGTGCAAAGCAGTGAAAATCATTAAAAGGCAATTGTTTGGAGAACGGAACTGCACAAAATGTATGATCGCACCGGCTATTCTGGTGCGCGCTGTTATTTATTTGTCTGGGTACGGTTCCAGGTGTTGCGTTCAAAACTGCTAATTTCCAGCACTAAGTTTCATGCCGAGCATAAAAGAACCCATAGGCCCAGCCTAGTCAAATAAAATGTTTATTATTGAGCGGAACGTGAGTTCCTCACTGAATGCTGCCCACAAAATTATATAAAATGAAATTTCAAATATAGATCAATGGCACATGGGCACTACGGCTTAATCCCGAACTCAAACAGATCAAAGGAGTGACCTGTCACTGATCTAAAGCCCTCCCTCTTTCCTCAAACATACTGTTCTAGGACTACTTCAAGATAATAAATGATACGGTGGAACAACACTCCGGAGGTCCATTTCTAGAGAGAGTTCAGAAGGTTAGCAGATTTGGAAGCAGAACGCCGAATGCAGTGCGCTTCCCAAGGTCGGCGCACAAGAGCACGCCAAGCAAGCTTGTGGACCAGCTATAACAATGCACCGCTGGAGCAGCAGCTGCTGCCAAAAATCAACGCTGCGCCCCAAATGGGAACACCAAAAAGAACTGCTGGTGAAGACTTGATGCAAACCAGAAATGCACTGAGGAAGAACCAACTGACTGCAGCTACTGATCTGAACCAGCCTGCAAAAAAGGCATGTGTCGCAGCATCTGCTGACCTTAGCAGGCACTGAAGAACACGGTATCCCAGAAGTTATGGATCCACGACGTGCAAAAAGCATCCGCTAGTGGGGACAGGAAGTTTCGGGGAACGTTGATCCCAGGGCAATACAGCAACCCCTACTTCTCCGATAATGCCTCTGCGGGAATCAGTGCAACTGGAAAACGTGCGCACCGCATCTCAAGTATTTTGAGCGGAACCCAGTAGGTCATCCCTGGACGGCCGTACTCGAGTGCTTCAAGGATAGTTTGCGGCAGCCAGTACCCTTCTGTCTCAAAATTCTCTCAAGAGAAGGCATCTGGTAATGCGACTAGTTGTTTTTGACCACCGCTCATCTTCGTTGCAAAGTACGGCCTGCATCCTCTTAAACGTTGTAAAACTGGCAGTCGGCCTACTGGCAATTCCAGCATCCGGCTCACTATCCCCTTACTTCATTGCTTCAACGGAAAAAGACTGGATGCGCTGCGTTTTCCCGTCGCTTGGGAAAACTGCAAATGATTTTTTTTTTTGAATTTGTACGAAACCGGTCATTATTCGATTGCAATAGTTTGCATTGTGACTTCGCCCCAACACTGCTGCAGAATCGGGATACTAAGAAAATGTCTGAAAAATCATTCAGGACATTGTACTCCCCAGCAAAAAGATAAATGCTGTTCTAAGCTGCAAAACGCTAATTAGTGCTGAGAAGAAGCAAAACTCCTGTCACGCCTCGTCTTATTCCTACATTACGTCCAAACATTACTGGCTCAAGCTCTAGAAATTAGCCGTCTGGAACGCTAAAGACAAAGTTCCCGCATTCAGTAAGAAATGTTGCCTGAGTTCTCGCGCTCATCCCTTTTGAGATCGAAGGAACGGTGAATACGCTAATAGTGTTTGCACGTCCAAACATTACTGGCTCAACACGCAGTGCACAGTGACCACAATCCAGCTGGCGTTGCTTCTCGCATCTATGCTTAGCCTTGAAAATAAAAATCGCTGAGAAGATTGGCAAGGAACGGCTACTTCTGGCAATATGCTACCACTCAGGATATTTCCAAGCGCCTCCCTACCTTCAACTCCACAGGGTGAAACACAGGTGGTGGAGGGGGACGCTTGGATGAATTTCGACTTTAGCCAAAACTACTTTTCTAAAAAACTACCAGGCATGTACAATCATCGGAAGCACAGAGAAAGGCTAACGAGCTGGTAACCAACGGTCACAAATCACTTATGTTCGACACAGCAGTAGAAGCCACTGTACAACAAACCATCTGCGAACGATGACCTCATTTTTTTTCTGCATGTATACATATATTGTATGCAAAATACTGTGGCTGGACCACCTGCGGATATTACACATATGTCTAGCGAATGCAAGCGGGAGCGAAGAACGGCTACAGAGATCGGACAAAATACAACGCTTAAAAGGACGAAGAGGATGGCCGGTCAGACAGGATGCAAGGACACATGCAAGAATATTGCCCAGCTCGCACCGAAGATGACCGACATGGCTTCTAGCGGTCATGTGTAGAATGAGGCAGCGGCAGTAGCAAAAAAGGTTGTTGTAAAGATGAGACGGGCTGTGCAGCGCCTCCACAGTGAATGGAGTACCACAGGCGCAATAAAAATAACTTTCATGTTTCGTTTTCTGTGAAAAAACAGTGACATTCTGAAACAGCCTGCATTACTGAACTTGAAGAACCGCGAGTAGTGAAACGGTTGGTTTTTATGGGATTTTGCATTTGCATTTTTATGCGTTTTTGCATATTCACGCAAATATAAAAACGCATGTTGTGACTTCTCCTGATGTGTATGTTTTTGTACGTTTATGTGTGCTTACATCTTTGTGTGTTTATATATAAACATATATATGTACATATATGTATTTATCTTTATGTACGTTTACATGACCACTAGATATCTTAACTCGACAATCAAGCAAGCTTTGATGCTGGAATTTCGCCAGAGGGTTCCTTGGCCAAGCATTATCCCAGAAACGTTGCATCAACCTTCGTGCACTCTGTATCCAAATTACGGTATGCTTCGGTGGGAAAACTGCTAACTCGAGGATCAGATAAGCTAGGGAATTGAAATCTTGGAAAAATTTCTGTCCACGTGCGATCCAGAGATTTAGTTT